GATTGATTGGCATCAGAATTAGACAAGATATTTGTAGTCATTCGTAAGGACTGGCAAACAAGAGTTACTAAGTCGGGAAGTTGCAATAGGAAAGTAGATAAGGACGGATGCTAATAAAGAAATAAGGATAGTAGTTCAATTAGACCCTCACCCAATACTTTGTGTCTAAAATCTACTTTTACCCTCGTGATTTTCTTCTAATCAGCGTCGTAATTTAACATTTGTCGTACGTACGTTACGTTCGACAATTAATGAGGCTTTCATGAAAAAAAATCGTCAGGAAAAAGTCGTCATACATTCCAGTGACGTCAGTAGTTCAATGTATTCAATAACATTCAGTACAGAACCAACGAATTTCCCCTGAGCGCCGTACACAACACGACGCGAAGAAGAATAACGTACCGAATGCAAAATGAAAATTATCATACAAATTCGCCACCGTCTTATATGAACAATGTCGCTATGCAAAAATATGTAAGAGCAATTCAGCGATGACGCAACGCCGGCCCACTTAGGAGCTCGTGATTTGCATTTGCGTTAAATAATCGCGGATGCGGAACTCCCTTTATATCCGTACACCTGCTTAGTATTCGGAGATGTTAAGGGCCGTTCTAAGATGAGAAAGTATATTCTTAAGATGTCTCCTGTTGTTTCAGTCGTTGTCGAAACTAAGAAATTTTACTATTCGGAGCACTTTTCTTCCTTGTTCCCTTGTTCAGAGTCGAAACTAAAAGAAAAAAAACTATGACGAGCACTTTTGTTTCAGTGCCATATTTTTTTCCTCTTTTTTCTGTACAACAAATATGTAAGCTCTGAAATATATTAAGTGTATAATCTATGATGTAAGCTTCTTTTATTATTAGCATCGATTTGAAAAGTCTATCCAGTAACATGTTTCCAGAAGCCTCTCAATAAAATAACAGCATTTAGGTAAATGCTGAAACTTCAAAAAGCTTTCTGGAGAAAAAAAAAATTATATTCCCCCAAACTTGCGCATTTTCACAAATATTTATCTGGGATTTTTTTTAAATTACATTAGGAAAAATTTAAAAAAAAATCACACAACACGATTCTTTAGGATTCCATCAAAAAGTCCAGTAATTGAAATTTTTTATTAACAGTACATGAGTCGTCTATTATCAAAGCCGGCAATCTGACTTTTGGACAATGATTGGTAAATCAGAAAAACGTATTATTGACTTTGTATTCCATTGGCAGTCACAAAACTCTTCGGAACGACATCTTAGATAAATAACACGTTAACTATTAACCTTTATTTAATGCAGGTTTTGAACCGTATTCTTTGAAGGAGACGATTATATTCAAATCAATCTGTATTGACATATCAATAATTTTTTTTTGTCCAAATGCACAGATTGCCACCTTTGATAATAGACGACTCACATGGTATATTTTTTTAATTATGCTAATTCCAATTGATGCAGTGCTAGTTTGAGTAACATAGGTGAAGTATCACATCAACGTCAAAGTCAGATTAAGGATACGGGGTGCGCACCTGCGATGCGGGGTGTGAGCGCAGTGGTAGTAAGGGGCATCGACCTTGGCACTATCAACAATCCTGTTGCATTAGATTGCACGCGAGCGCTACATGGACTGGAGACGCCTTTAGCTCAAGAATAATATAATATTTATTTAATTGCTCCCTTAAAGGTGTAGTACAAATACAAATTAACTTTAAAATTCATTTTGTTAGCCTTTGAAAGAGCTGAAGTCGGTACTAGGTTCAAAGATCCGTATTACTGATCTCCAGGCTCCCACCTTTCTAGGTTATATATTTTTTTAAATTTCAATAATGCTATAGGAATATTGCTTATTGGGCTGGTTCAATCAGTTGGGTTTATTTTACTCGTCGAACCAGTAAATACATATACAATACGCTACAGGAAGCGGACTGACTGTGCCCATGACATTGCTTACGCCACGAGCGACGGTAGCCACTCACCATCATGTGGACTGTATGCCCATCTACCTATATCTAATGGAAATAAAAATATATACGTCAAAACGATTGGATCATTCAATACACGGGATGTATCAAAAATAGACCGCATTATTTTTATTTCAAAACCAAAATGAAAACTGCTGTTACTCAACATGAAATTACCCTCGATTTTCATAATACACCGATTAAAAATCTAACCGCGGCCTGAATCTAAAAAGCTAATAAATTTATTCACGAGTAGTGGAGTCACGCTCGATTCGGCATCAAGTGTCGTACTGCGAATCGAAGTCCCGTGAAACTGAACGACCAATTAAAACTAGAAATCCACTGAATTTTCCATTTAATTTACGTGAACTTCGAACACAATCTAAAGTACACGGCTGCGGGAAATTTCAGTACATCAACATAGCTTAGTGCATGGAGGGTAGTTGTAAACAGGACCCTGAAACTGTGATACTTTAAGACAAATATTTTTTGTATGGAAACTAGCGACATCTTGTAGCGGATGCCCCTAAACTTATATGTTGTTAAAGTTAAGGCATTTAATTATTGTGTAACTAAATAAAATAAAAAATCATACAAGTCTTTATTTTTTATAGACAAATTGATTAAATTTTATCTATTTGTGGTTTCTGAAAATTTACAAAATCCTTCATTAAAAATAAAATTTAGGATAGATAATATGTTACTGCCATCTACAGGAGCAATGAGAAACTAATCGAAGCGAATCTAGTGGCCGACGCCCGTAAGCATTCTTGTTGAGTGCTTGAGTTGCTTATCTATAATTAATTTATGTGTATTATCTATGGATGTAAAGGAGTACCATCTTGTATAGGGGACAAGTTGAAAAAGTATCCACCTGTAAACAGCAAATTATTGTTGGAAGACTTACCGAAATAGCGCTAGTGTATGAATTGGAAATGATATGAATATAGCAGTTTTAAACAGAGTGAAGTTTGGTGGATTGAAGTGGAATGTGGTTGTTTTAGGGCGCTATTTTTTAAATCTTTCCACTTGCTACTGTGGCGCCACCTTTAATTGTCTCTCTTTCAGCAGACACCTTTTTGATAATACTGAGATGGTGCTTCTTAGTTCTACCCTCCTGAGCTTCGTGCAAACAGCGAACATAGATAATGCACTTAAAGAAACATTATTGCTGTCTAAATAAATATAGTTAAATAGACTTGTGATTTCGGATTCTTTTTTTATAAGCAGACGTCAACACGACACTCTTGATCCACTTTGAATTATGATTGAAATCTTAATTGTATTTCTTTAAAGCTTGACCTAACTTTACTTTGTCTAAAAGTTCCTAATGGTTACTACTAATATTAATAATTTTATTATTTTTTTTACCAATTGACCACGAAAAAATCTTAACCATTTTAGGCAGGTTTGAAAAAGGTATGTATTGAGATTACTTTGCCAGTTCCGAACCTATGCTAATGTATTAATTCTTTTCACTTTATCAATTTAAATAAAACAACAAACACTTTAATTGACGATATATTATTTATAAAATTAAAACTTTTTTTTTTACAAAAATAGGATGGAAAATGTTAAGTAACTACATTTTATTGTTAGTTGTATACCTACTAAATTAAGTATTACGTTTAAATGCACAATTTTATATACTGTTGGAATTAAATCAAAATGACAACTTAAGCATTTTATTTACTCATTTATGTGCATTGAAACACTCCAATAACAAAACAAGTTTAACTCCACAGTACATTCCAAACATATTCTTCATTGAACAAACTTTGGTATAATGTTAACTCTTAAAAACTATAATATTTTTTTTAATAACATTTAGAATTTTAGGCATTTTAAATTTATATTAATAAAAAATAGACTACCATACAGTTACAGATGACGTACCAAATGTTTAAAAGTTACGGAAAGCATAATGAACGAGTAAAATATCAAATTAATATCTTTGAAAAAAGCAACTGTAAATACAATATTTATTACTAATATGTAACTTTTTCTTTATGTATAAACATGCCTCCTTTTTATTTACTTCGTTTTAAAACAATATCATACGTACGTTTTTAAATATAACTAAAACATAAAATGGCAATCGATCGTAATGTTCACGAGATATCATTAAGATCTTTAGTTTCATTAACCGTAAGTAACAATGTTATAAAAAACAAAAATATCTGTAATATTCCTTAATATAGTCAAAATCATAGCGCTTGTTTCAGTTGGTTTGTACATTACAATTATTGTACTATAACATTCATGCTATAAGATTATTTATCGTCTAGACGACATAGATACTAAAGGCAAAGAATTACTTTTTTCGAATGTTCGTATATCGATCGAATAAGCAGTCCACATACTCACACCAACCAAACACTGGAATACCGAATATTTATCATAAAACTACCGACTCCGACCCGGAACCGAACCATCGCCTTAAGCGTAACCTGAACTGACCGACATGCTGAGGATTCAATACTTTAAATTTACAAACGAAGCCACGTATTTCTTTGCCGGGACCGGGCGTCGGTGTGAATTATCGATCACTTTCATTAATTATGTACGTTTTAGCTCCCTTAAATTAAGTTATTACTTTCAGACGATGCCGACAAATTTACGGGCCTATTTTACATAAAGCTGCTCTTTATTATGGAATCTTTTTTTTAGATTCACATATCGCACATACGGTGCTATAGTCACTTATGCAATTTTTGTTACTGAACTGAGTATGAGAAAATACATTTTTTAATAGTTATTAGTGAGACGAGCGAGATGTTTGCTTTTACTGATGGAGGTTAAATATTATCATTTTATTTCTATAGCCTAACAGAACTATGTATATACGAATTATATACGGCCGTCTGGTGTAATGGTAAGTGACATGGTTACTACACAAGGGGGTCGCGGGTTCGAATCCCGCCAAAGGAAGATATAAATGTCTTTTCCAGGGTTATGGATGTATATTAAATATATGTATGTGTATAATAAAAATCTTACATTTATTTCCGTTATCTGATAGCTGTAACACAAGTTCTTTACGAACTTATCACGGGACCAGTTAACGTGGCGTGATTGTTAGTAAATATTTATATTTATTTATTTTATTTAGGTAGGTAGATATAATATTCCAACGCTTCTAAAAAATTACATAATTTGCATAAGTAACATTACTGCACCGTATATGCGATATGTGTGTGTGTGTGTGTGTTAATATTCCGTTAATTTGTCAGCGCCCTCAGAAATAAAATAGGTTATATTTAAAATTCGTCGTGCCTGGCGAGTGCTTCGCCGAAGTCGGTGGCCTGCGAGCCGACGAAGAGATCGTACTTGTCGATGATCTCGGCCTTGGTGAGCTTCTCGTCTGCGTCGGCGTCGGCCTCGAACACGAGGTGGCGCGCCTCGGCCTCCGCGTGGTCGAACTCCGGCGGCGCGATCCAGTCCTTCACCTCGTGCTCGTCCATGAACCCGTCCTTATTCGTATCCCTGTTAAACAATCATAGCATTTGTCAGGTTTTCATATCGATAAAAAAACTGTACATTAACATAAAATTTACGCATATATTATAATATCTATATATATAAAAATGAATTGCTGTTCGTTAGTCTCGCTAAAACTCGACAACGGCCGGACCGATTTGGCTAATTTTGGTCTTGAATTATTTGTGGAAGCCCAGAGAAGGTTTAAAAGATAGATAAATATAAAAATGCTCAGAATTAAATAAAAATAACAACTTTGTTTTTCCTTTGATGTGTCCCCTTCAATTATTGTATTCCTGTTGTTTGTTTTATGTTTACTTTATACAAAAGCTTAGGTCTTTTATGTATCGATTGAGACACTACGAAGTCTGCCGGGTCAACTAGTTTCTTATATAGAACACACAGCTGTGTTATCAGATATTTGTAAAACCTGAACTGTTATTTCAATAACTAAACTTGTACAAGTCACAGAGGCAGCCCACACACTGCTATACATATTGACCGACAGAGCCGGACAGGAGCGGCCGGGAGACCCGGGGGACGCTGGGGGGGCTGTCTCCCCACCCGTTGTATCCAAGTACTTTGATTGTCGCATGAATACATTGTTACTTGCTCGAGACCTAGATTGAGTCGATGCAAAATGTTCTCCGGAGAAGGCTAATAGATAGTTTTAGTTATTAAATGAATGTGTACCTGTATCCAGTAAACTGTTCTCTCTCCTGCTTGACCCAGTCGGGCTCCTCCTCGTCTTCGCCGTCCTCGGGCTTGTACATATCGCCGATATACTCATCGAGGGATACTTTTCCGTCCTGTAAAACGACGATATAATTAAAAGTTTGTTGCATATAAAAAGAAAACGGCGAGATCAAACCGTAAAAACAATACTAAACTCTGTTTAAAACTGCTATATTCATATCATTTCCTATACGAGCGCTATATCTGTGAGTCTTCCAGTAGGAACTTGCTTTTTTTTTTATTGCCTTTGTATGCAGACGAGCATACGGCCCACCTGATGGTGTGTGGTTACCGTCGCCCATGGACTTCAGCAATGCCAGGGGCAGAGCCACCTACCTGCTGCTGTTTACAGATGGACACTTTTTCAACTTGTTCCCTATAATGAGGTGGTACTTCATTATTTCCCTAATTAATTGGAAAAGTGCAAGCTCTGATGTTCTTGCCAATTCCTAGAGGAATAGACACCATAGATGGTGTAATCATCATTTCAAATCGATGGTAAAGTCAATTTGAGAGCACATAAAAAGACCCACATATTTCAAATGTTTTTATTATTATTAACAATACCCGTGATTGATGTTTTTCTTATGAGAGATGAGAGAACGTGATCACAGCATATAAATATTCACTTTAAGTATGAAGACCAAGTTTATACATAACGATACCACCATCTAAGTCGGAACACGTGACTACCTCATGGCAGATGTTAGTAAGATGGCACTAGCTGCCTATGCAATCCTATAACACAATCAACTAAAAGCAATTAAACAAACATTTCTCAACTTCTGATTTAATGTTTGCAATGAGTCTCTTCGATATTGCATATTAATGTATTCCGACTTATTAAAAGTTTTCTACAAAAGTTTTAAATTTTTTGGGTATTCAAATTTCATGACTGCAAACACTTTCAAATACACTAGCTACCTATTTTATCTGAGTAATTGTTAAAGCATGTACCTGGTCCTTGTCAATATCCTCTAAAGTTTCCAAAACGACGACATCTCTCATCGAGCTGTGGTCTTCAGGGTGGAGGAAGGCAGCAAACTCAGTTCTGTTGAGTGCATCGTTCTGGTCAGCATCTATTAACAAACAGCAGAAATAAATTATGAGAGAAATCAACATTTAATTCAAAGGACAATGGATGCTTAACCTTGATGTCTGCTTTTTTTTTTATTGCTTAGATGGGTGGACGAGCTCAAAGCCCACCTGGTGTTAAGTGGTCATTGGGGCCCATAAACATCTACAACGTAAATGCGCCACCCACCTTAAGATCGAAGGTCTCAGTATAGTTACAACGGCTGCCCCACCCTTCAAACCGAAACGCATAGCTGCTTCACGGCAGAAATAGGCAGGGCGGTGGTACCTACCCGTGCGGACACACAAGAGGTCCTACCACCAGTTTCAATATAATGGAATTACTTTTCACTCAATATAATAATATCATGAACATATGAAGAGTTTGTGGCCACAATTTTAGGACTATAACCATAAATACTAGGATCATTGATCACACTAGGATCATAACAGCTTATAGTCTAGATTAGTATTTATACTAGACAAAGCTTCTGCTTCTGACGCAGAATAACTTATGTTGTGACCAAAGTTTTAGCTTTTAGGTACACACAATTTAAAAAAACCCATTCCTTTTGTAAATCATACTTATATTTGTGCTTAAAGAGCACATTGAGAGGTGAAGGCAACTTTTTGTAGAACATATTGCGGTTTTATCATAAATTTTTGCCCAATGGTAATGACTCGACTATAGATAATCACGAACACCTCAATATGTAGATCCATTTTATGTATTGAATTCATAAAATACTGAACTTTTGCCTTTTCCAATTTATATATGTTGATTGCATTTTCAAGTAGTGTCAATTCTGCTTTTTATATTCATGTTAATTTATGTTTTTAAATGGAAATTAATGACGTCGGACTGGGAATAAGCTATTTTATCTTTATATTTATGCCTGATTTTTTCTAGAGATAAGTTGTCATTTTAGTAATTTTAATACCCTGCATAACGCGGGACTTACCCTCTATCACGATTAGTATTTATAACGTGATAGCATCGAAAATAATAATTATTATCTCTTAATCAATTATATGATTTTAATCCAAACAATAGTATGTATTGATAAAAATTTTACAATGCATATCTCAATTTTTGCATGTTTTTTAAGAAATATTCTAATAGGACTTAACTTTATTATTAACTAGCGGCCCGCTCTGGCTCCGCTCGGGTTTCTAACAAAAATTTCAACGATATTTGCGTTATTTTATGTTTTTAAATAAAAACACTTATTGCGGCATAACTATAATAGTTAGAAATATGCTGTAGCGACACTTTTGTAAATAATAATGTGTTATACAAAGTTGTAGTACATTATCTTATTCTATAATTAATAGTTTTTGTAGGGCATGCAACGTAAAGAATATTTTAGGTTTTTTTTTTACACCTTAGGTTACATTATTGGAGTTTTAGTAAGGATCCCTAATTTTTTTCAAAAAATATTATAGCCTATGTCACTCGGGAATAGTGTAGCTTCTAAACAGTGAAAGAATTTTTGAAATCGGTTCAGTAGTTTCGGAGCCTGTTCCAATACAAACAAACAAACAAATCTTTCCTCTTTATAATATTAGTATAGAAGTATAGACAACTCACCCGCATATGTCCATCTTCTCCGATCCCTCTTCTGAAGATTTGAGTATGTGAAGCCTTCACTGTTAGGAGCTTTTAATTCTTTCTCGTCCATATCATCCATAAATCCGTAAACATTCTTTCTGTATGCCTGAAAAATCAAAATGTAGGCCATTTAAAAAAATCAGCCATTGCTGCACTCAACATCTGCAATCAACATGATAATAAATGAAAAAACAGAATCATGAAACATGAATAGAATTTAAAATTATTGGAATTTATTTCACTTCATTACAGCCAATCATATATTTAGGTCAACTGTATTTCAACATATACCTATCATCCTATGAAAAACGCCTTCCAAGAATATAGGTCGTGTTAACATACCTGACACAAAAGTTGTATTATATTCGAGATCTGTTTTTTAAAGCCCTTTTACTGGTGGTAAGACCTCTTGTGAATTCGCGCGGGCAGGTACCACCACCCCGCCTATTTCTGCCGTGAAGCAGTAATGCGTTTCGGTTTGAAGGGTGGGGTAGCCGTTGTAACTATACTGAGATCTTAGAACTTATATCTCAAGGTGGGTGGCGCACTTACGTCGTAGATGTCTATGGGCTCCAGTAACCACTTAACATCAGGTGGGCTGTAAGCTCGTCCACCTATCTAAGCAATACAAAAAAAAGAAAAAATATATGTATTTTTTATGGTAGCTTTCAAACCTATGCTTAGAAAACAAGGTTGTTATGATCAATTACGATGACCTCACCTCCCAAGTCACGAACTCTTCGTTATTAGGGTTCTGCTGTCTCCAATGTCTTTCCACATCCTCATCGATGTATCGCTTCTGAGTATAGCGGATCCAATCTTTCAACTCAACGAGAGTTATAAAACCATCCTGGTCTGAATCTATCTTGTCCGCTATTTCTCTGTAACGAAATATAATAAATTTATCTTTTTATCCAAAGGCGGTATTAAAATAGGTTTCTGAAGTGATGACGTCATAAACTCTACATAGTAGAGATTATGACGTAATCACATCACACAAAATTTTATGTGTATATACACATAAATTTTTTAAGATTAACCTTAATGTATTGGAGGTAAATAGGTCACACATGAATGAAAACAGATTGTATTTTTAAAACATGCCCGCACTAGTCGCATGATTTATTGCTTAAATTGACTGTGAATGTTGTATTTATTACCTCTCCTGGTGAAGCTAGAAAGGCCTCTGGGCCACCAGTAATTACTTATTAAAAAAAAGTCTTGTATTGTTTTTATTGCGTAGACGGGTGTACGAACTCCCGGCATGCCAGGTGATAAGTGGTCACCGGAGCCAGTAAACATCACAACCTGAGTATCACTATCAGAACTTGAGGTGTGAGCCTCAATAGTTTAGTATGATCACTGTCCCACCCCTCAAACCGAAACGCATTGTTTAGCCATAGAAACAGGTAGAATGGTAATAGCCTGATTCACAAAATACCCAGTCATTATGCTAATTATAAAAAAAAAATAAGTACCTGCCTATACGGAATTTGAACCTAGGCATATTCGCATCGCATCGATACGAGTGCACCAGGCGTCTTAAACTTTAAGCCACGAACACGACTTAAAATCTAAGACGTCCGGTGGATTCGTACCTAGCGATGCACCGGTGTTCGAATGCCGTAGGCGGGTACCAATTTTTCTAATGAAATACGTAATTAACACATGTTCGCGATTAACTTCCACAGTGAAGGGATAACGTGTAAGAAAAATCAAACCCGCAAAAGTATAATTTGCATAATTACTGGTGGTAGGACCTCTTGTGAGTCCGCACGGGTAGGTATCACCACCCCGCTTATTTCTGCCGTGAAGTTGTAATGCGTTTTGGTTTGAAGAGTGGGGCAGCCGTTGTTACCATACTGAGACCTTAGAACTTATATCTCAAGGTGGGTGGCGCATTTACGTTATAGATGTCTATGGGCTCCAGTAACCACTTAACACCAAGCGGGCTGTGAGCTCGTCCACCCATCTAAGCAATAATAAAACCTCCATCAGACCTTGAGGCATAAGCCTCAATAGTTTAGTATGATCACTGTCCCACCCGTGGTCCTCGGCGGTTACGCTGATATGATCTCTCAAGACCATCAGCTTAGGTAGGAAAAAATCTATCTATATATATAAAATTGAATTGCTGTTCGTTAGTCTCGCTAAAACTCGATAACGGTTGGACCGATGGACCGATTTGGCTAATTTTGGTCTTAAATTACTTGTGGAAGTCCAGGGAAGGTTGGATAAATATGAAAATACTCGGAATGAAATAAAAATAACAATTTTGTTTTTCCTTTTATGTGTCCCCCCCCCCCCGTCGGACGGATTCCTTTTGTTTGTTTTAAGTTTATTTTACACCAAAGTTTAGGTCTTTTATTCATCGATTGAGGCACTAAGAAGTCTGCCGGGTCAGTTACTAAGAAATAAAAAAGTCCCACCCGTCAAACCAAAATGTATTGTTTAGCCATAGAAATAGGTAGGATGGTAATAGCCTGACCCACAAGAGACCCAGGAATTATACTAATTATAAAATAAGTACCCGCCTACGGAATTTGAACCTAGGCACAATCGCATCGCTCGATACGAGTCAGGCGTCTAAAACTTTAAGCCAAGAAGACTTAAAATCTAATGCTTGTTCACTTGATATAAGTAACAAATAATTCCGGATTTCGACCTCATTAGCAACCCAGAGCGGTTTATCATTGTTTGGCATTAGCAAAGATAAGTATGGGCTGTAAACTCTTCTGCCGTAAACCGTCACAAAGGGATTAAATCAATCAATAACAGCACTCAAGTTTTCTTATTGCGATCTTAATATTATAACCTCATTTGCATAATAACACTATCAATCCATACTAACATTATAAATATGAGAGAGTTTTTGGTTGCCCTTCTTTAACGTCGAAAAGACACAAAGGATTAAGCGGCTTTTTTTAAGTGATAGTTTTAGGTCAGGTAACTATCGCTTATTCCGGAATAACATTTCTACAGGAAACTGTTTTATTATCTTCAGAGAAATTATGTGACACTTTAGAAAAAAAATATTGACATTTTTCCCTGACCGCGCAGACAAAGCCGCGGGTAAAACCTACTAAATATAAATAATTAGAGATAATAATATTATATCGTTACAAAAAATATGAACTAACAATATGCGCACGCGATATCATACTCAAAAACATTTTATCACTTATGCGTGTTATTAATTTATACACAGACACGTTTACGTTCTCTTCCTAAATATTAGCTGAAGCCTATCAATTCGTCACTGAAAACCGCTACCAAATTGGTTGTATCATTTTGAAAATTCTCATGCACAGATAGACAAAGAGAATTTTTTTTTCTAAGATTTCAGTTTATTTTCTATGTAATGTAGATGCATAATTAATACACCATAGATTTTTACCACATCCGATGCAAGCCTCTTGATAATCATTAATTCTCGAATATTCTTCACATTCTGACACACATTTAAGATAACTAGGCCAACTGATAGTGTACGAGTTCAGCGATTTTTGTGATTGGTCTAATATTATTCTTTGTGATGAAAAGTTTACAAATTTTTTGTCCACCATGGTATATAAAATCATTACGCTTATTCCTAAAAGCATTTATAATTTAAATTGTATTATTTCAACATAACAATCTTTTTCCACTCTTTCTTCTTGTAACTTTATTTATTTGGAGTAAGATTGATAAATTTCCGTTAAGTTTATATAAAGTTTTTAACAGTATTTTCTTTCTAATTAGTTGTCTATTTTTGAAAAAATTCAAAACTAGATTCCAATTCATTTAACCCAGATGTTTGTGACATGATGATAATCTTAAGAAGCACACACTGCGGATACTGTTTTATCGTGGATAGTGCTCGGTAATTAAGGGCACTGACTTTTATTATAATGTCACTGACTGATAGCATGAATTTTAATTTATGTGAGTTTATCACACTAGTCTTAATTTTAAAAGGATGAGCTTCTTTAGTTAAAATTTTGACCAACTTCAAGGCAACTTGTAAATTTGGAAACATGTTAAGGCCCAGGTTATAAATACAATAATATTATTACTCTGACTTAATTTTAAAAGGATGAGCTTCTTTAGTTAAAATTTTGACCAACTTCAAGGCAACTTGTAAATTTGGAAACGTGTTAAGGCCCAGGTTATAAATACAATAATATTATTACTCTGACCTACTATACTGATCAGAATCACAGGACTATATTTATTTTGAATTTTATAAACTAAATCTAATATTATTGTTAGATATCAAGTTAATGACTGAATCCTACAAATATTTTCTTTATCATACTTGGGTACTCCAATCATTTCTAAGGTACATTAATGACCAACACTTGGTTACAAAACTTTAAAGGCTTACAGATGCATTTGAATTATTCAATGGGAAACAAAGGCAGTTGGTAATGTTTCTAATATCTCACACAATTGTATCGAAAAAATCACACTGTATAATATTGCAGGCAAATCAGCTGTGACAACCTATTTAAATTTTCCATGGCACTAATTGGTAAATGACAGTTGTTTCTGGTTACTTGCATTATATTATTTTCAGGAATAGTCTCTTACGGGTATACAATAATAAATGTAAAGTTTTTATTATGGAAGTATACTGATTGTACACTCTTTATACTGTATAAATACACAAGAGATTTAATATTATAATTTTTTTTCATCATAAAATCTAGGTTGTAACCACACAAATGCATTTCAGACTAAGTCTCTTAAGATATTCTGTAGTTTCCTTAATATAATAATAATAGTTTTAAGATTCCCAAACACATTGTATTTTTTGTGTTTTTTTGGTATTTAACCTCGTTGAGCAGTGTAACTAAAAATCTCTAAATCAATTCAATGTAGCTAGACAATTTTTCTTGGTAATTAGAATAACTAAATAAAAATCAATATTTTACAGGATTTACAGTACTAAAATAAAATTTAAATATCAATTGTAGAAAACCTCACTGCCTAGTACATATATTGTTTAACTTCTATGCAGAGAGCACACTATGTATTAAAAAAAAATGTTATGTACTTTTTCTTTTTTAACATGTGTTATAAATGTCATCATAAAACTTAACATATGCTTTTAAAACACTACTGTAATTTTTTGTAGTTTTTTTTTCGGAGCTAATGAATAAATAATTAAAAGTAATATACAAATAATAACTTACCCAAGTCTCCTCTTACTTTCTTCGGGTGATAGTTGATCGAAAGTTTTGGCCTGGTCCTCTCCCAAAAAGGCGTCATGATCAAACTGCTTGTTATGATGCTCATTGCGATAATGTTCAGCATCAGACAGATGATCCATCAACCTCTTCGTCTCTTCATTCGTTGGGACTCCCGCGAACACCATCGAAATTGCCAATAGCACAAAGAAAGATCTCAACATTTTGGCCTAAGAATTAAAAACATGCGTTGAACAAAAAATACCGGCGGCAAAAAATATCTTCGTAAAGTAGACTAAATAAATCGAAGTTGTTCAATCAGAATTTAAATTAAGACCCCAGGTTGAAATATGAAGGAAGTTCTACGAGTTTTTTTTATAAAACTGCTTACTACTTTGAAACCGCCACGTCAACAGAGCCACGTAAACTTCCTGAATCCCAGAGACTTAAAATCAAATTGGAGCGGAAACACTGGAACACGGGAAAATATTGCATGTAGTGAGTGAGTGATGCTAAAGATAAAGATGATGGGGCTGCTGAAATATGTCGAAACATCGATTCACCTCTTTCAAATCGATTTTACGGCGAAATTTCCAAAGTGTTGAATGGGCTACTATGTGGCAATTAAAAATACTAAGATGTATCTAAATTTTTTATTTTATCAAAAGTACATTTTCTATGTAAAAATAATGCAAGAACATTTCACAAATATTTGATATCAAAAGAATTTAGAAAAAACTTGTAATTTAGTAAAGCAAATGTTTATGGTGCGTACCTACCAACCCTTGAATTACTTAACGCTTACATAAAATTCCACATATTATATATTTCAAAATGTTATCAACATTTTAATAACCCTAAAATTGTAGATTTTATTTTTCGGACTTCACGATGTTTTTGACAAAGATATCATGTTCATGTTTTTTTCCCCGTTGTAAGCTGACTAACAAACGGCGCACCTGATAGAAGATAGTGATAGTTGTTATAACATGAGTTCAAGCAAACCAAGATAAACCTGCTGAGGACTCTCGTTAAGCACTATTGAAATCTTCGCAGCCTAACGGATGATAATGACAATCAAACACGCAAACATTTTTATTTGCGTAACTACTGGTGGTAGGACGTCTTGTGAGCTCGCACGAGTAGTTACCACCATCCTGCCTAATTCTGCGGTGAAGTAGAAATGCATTTCGGTTTGAACGGTACAGCCGTTGTACTGTAAAACTGAGACTTGCAACTCATGTCTCAAAGTGGATGATGGTATTTTTTTTTTTTGGTTTTTTATTTTTTATTGCCCTGGTAGGCAGTCGAGCATACGGCCCACCTGATGGTGAGTGGTTACCGTCGCCCATGGACTTTAGCAATACCAGGGGCAGAGCCAAGCCGCTGCCTACCGCTTAATACTCTCCACAAGCCTCGTTTGAAGAAGGACATGTCATAGCGCTCGGGAAACACCGTGGAGGGGAGCTCATTCCATAGCCGGATGGTACGTGGCAAAAAAGACCTCTGGAAACGCACTGTGGATGACCGCAGTGGCTCCAGGTAGTATGGATGAACTCTACTCCGGTGGCGGGCGGTGCGATGGTAAAAACGAGATGCCGGTATCATCTCGAACAATTCCTCAGAGCACTCCCCATGGAACATACGGTACAAAATACAGAGGGAACCGAAGTCCCTCCGCAGACCCAGAGGTTCCAAACGATCCGTGAGACCGGGATTATCGACAATCCGAACGGCCCTCCTCTGTATGGAGTCAAATGGAAGAAGCTGGTATTTGGGAGCCCCGGCCCAGAGATGGGAGCAGTACTCCACGCGAGGCCGGACTTGTGCTTTATAAAGCAAAAGCCTTTGTCCAGGCGTGAAGTACCGCTTCGCTCTGTTGAGGACTCCTAGCATTTTGGACGCCAACTTGGCTTTGCCTTCCAAATGACTCCGAAACTGGACATCACTCGAAATGTCGACCCCAAGTATCCCAATACTCTCGGAAGGTTGCAGGGATACTCCTTGGAATTGCGGCGACATGACAATGTATTTACGTTGTTGATGCCTATGGGCTTTGATTACTACTTAACACCAGGGGGACCGTGAGCTCATCCACTCAAAGTGGGGTGGTTCTTAACAAAAAGACCTTTAAAAGGGCTCTGGGGATGAATTGATTGGTTCCAGATAATAAGTTCTGATGACAGGTGTGATAGTTAAAGGAGATAAAGAATTCATATCGAACAACACACACAGAAACGAAGTCCCTCCGTTGGACAAGGAGGACCCGAAAAACCGCAAGGACAGGCGGCGTTCTTTAATGTTTATTTTTTGTATTGCATTCGTGACCGCCGTTCACCAGTCTTATCGATTCATCGAAACATTAGCATTGAAAAGTTGAGACACCCGACATCTCTAGATAGAATTTTCGTTCAGAAACACAAACTAATCTAAAACTCTACAAGGAAAACTTTAAGAACATTTTACTTCTATCAGTATGCCAAAACTTTTTTATTTTATTCTCCTATGATATTCATACAACCGCTTCTTGTTTTAGTGAATTTGCAGAGAACAGAAATCCCTTTTTACAAAATACCTAAAAGCTTTATATAGTAAGATGTGTTCAGAAAACGCAATACCCTACAACACTAAGCTGGTAAAACTTCAAACACTGTCAAATGTCAACGTCAACATCCGACTCTGTTGTCTTTGGCGGTGTAATGTCGTGACTGTTGTGCTGCGCTTCTCCGTTTCCAAAAGGAATATTATTAATAATGTTTCTAGAAATAACTGTAGAGAAGTTTTAAACCCCTTCGTTCGGTGGTGAAAATCTAGTGTTTGTTTGATAAGTCGTAAGAACAGAATTGCAAATGTCAATATGTCAGGATTTTGGCCTTAATTTCCAGCATAGAATGGTAAGCGAAATGCATGTTTTATTTTCATTCGAATAGTTTTAAGTATAGGACTAGACTCCCTTCAATTCGCGGCTGTAAGCACTTAATGTATTATCAATATTAAACCGGCTGAAATTAAATAAGATTATAATAGCACAACATTCGTTATTTCCGGTTCGATTTAATCGGATGCTTATTGGAAAGTATGTTTGCAGGGCGCAAATATATCACAGTTGGAAAGAGATATCGGGTCAGAGCAGTTCCCACCTAACGAACATTATTTCGGATTAGTCAATGTGAGTATGAAATGATTTAGTATAGTATCAAATTTTATTACTATAATTTTGGGATATGTTATCTAATCTAAGAAACATTTTCAAACGTATCTCTTTTATATAACTTAATATGTTATATAGAGTACATACTCTATAGAAATGTTGTTGTGGATAACCCTTACCTACTTTGCCTGAAATGTGTTTCTTGACTTGATAAATTCAGACATGAAAATTATATTCAGAATGAGGTTACCAAAATAGTAAATAAAAACTAGATCTAGTCAGAAAATACTACGGAAGTAAATGTAATATATAAGTAACAATATTAGAAACACTATAAATTAAATCAAAGCATTTTTTAAATGAGGAAAAGAGATATAATTATTAAAATTACAGGAATCAACATTTAAAATAATGTGATTTTAAGATACCTCCTTTATCTACATCATCTTGAATGAAATTAATTATTTGAGATTAATAATAATAAAGCACCAGTCTTGCTTGGGTCCTTGACTAACTCATATCGAAAGAAGAAAATTGATTATAACAAAATAATTTATTTAATTTCAGTTTGGCAACACTTGTTACAGCAACTCAGTGTTGCAAGCTTTATATTTTTGTCGCCCATTCAGAGAGAAAGTATTAGAGTACAAAGCTAAGAATAAAAGGACCAAGGAAACTCTATTAACATGCCTGGCAGATTTATTTTATAGCATAGCTACTCAAAAGAAAAAAGTTGGATCAATTGCACCTAAAAAATTTATTGCTAGACTTAGGAAGGAAAAGGGTATGTGGCGGGTGTACTTATATACACACCATTTTAATTATAATTAGCCATTTAAGAACACCTTATAATTTAGCCAACTGTCAGCACTCACCTACATCTTTACATAACATTCAAGATTGAGCACAAATTTAGTAATAGTTTAGTAATATTATTTTTACTGCATATATGAAAAAAGAAATCCCTTTTTGCAAAAACTATTCATTAATTAGTTTTTTTTTGGATTTTATGAGTAATATAGACTTAATTGAACCAACTGTTATATGACATTTATGACTGCATGTGACTATGAAAATGGTAAAGTATTTAAAACGTATATGATGTAATGACAATAATTTTTTTCATTAAACAATAATAAAAATTTAAATACATTTGTTATACAAAGCAATATTTTTGTTACTACTTCTATCTTCTTCTTCTATCTTAAATCATTTTCTGAAGTTCCATTGAGTAACATTGCCTAATTGTTTAGTTCTTTAAATGCATATTTTTTTTTACAGAGGAATTTGACAATTACATGCAACAAGATGCCCATGAATTCCTGAACTTCCTAATAAATCATATTAATGAAATTATTTTAGGTAAGAAGTATTTGACTTTATTTCAGTTTTAGAAACATAGGAGTAATGTCTTTGGTCGTTTTTAGTATTAATTACAGATTACATATTAAAAATTTAATAACGGGAAACTATAGAAGGTTGTCTATACCTGTGTTGTAAAGATTCAAACTCTATTGAGAAACCACAGACTAAAAACAAATTGGCAACCTCTGAGTGTCAAGTTTTCGGATTTAATCTTAAGTATGTTAATTTACAGTTATTTAAATGGACATTTATTTTGCCAGTTGCTAATTGAAACCCTCTTTCCGACAGCGGAACGTAATCAAAGCACATTAAAAGTTCAAAAGAACAACTCCGGTGAGAATGTGACGTGTAATGGTTCAGTGCCTCACAACACCGAACCGACTTGGGTGCACGAAATATTCCAAGGAACATTGACAAGCGAGACGAGGTGTCTCAACTGTGAGACAGTCAGCAGTAAAGATGAGCATTTCTTTGATTTACAGGTAACTTTTCATTTTGTATACCCTAATTTCTCCCTTCCTATTAGCAGAGAAATGAGTGGATGCTACCACCCAACTTGAGGTAACTTGAGACAACTCTTTTAATGCATTTATGTATGTATGAGCTTTTAATCCACTGAATGTTAAGTATATAAGGAGCTGGACCCATCATCGTGTATGTTACTACCAACCCTGAGACAAGAGGTCTAAGTAGAAGACATCACGGTCT